AAAAAAAAAAAAAAAAAAAAAAAAAAAAAAAAAAAAACAAAAAAAAACAAAAAAAAACACAAAAAAAGTGTGGTTGTTTTTCACAGATTTTGCTATATTACCCATAATTAGCAAGAACTGTTTTAATTTGGGTGTTTATTGATTCAAACCCAGTAAAGCTTTTTCTCCATTTCAATGGAAATCCATGGTTTGTGTATGATCCGCCATTGATGGGTTTGTTCAAGCTTTTCTTCCTCTCTGCAACTCCTCTGTTTTTCTGCAACTCCTCCGTTTTTCTGCACTCTGTGATTTTCTTAGTTCTTGGAAGATTCCACGCCATTTTCTCGGAAAAGAAAAGGGAATTTTCTGGGTGGGAAAATTTTTGGGGATAATTTCAGCTTTGAATCTCATGGATTCATTGGATTCTGAAACAGCCAATGAGTTGTATTCTTTTTTACACTCAAGTTTGTGCTCTGTTTTTTTTTTTTTTTATTCTTATTCAATGCCATTCATATGTATGCTCGTACACTCTGAGCTGCTTTCAATGCCATTTACTGTATGCTTCCCTTCTCCCCTTTCTCTTCTCAAATTATTCGAGGCTCGAACGAACAACGCTATTTGTCGAAAACCCGTTAATTGGGACGTTTATGGAAGTTTCGTACACTGTGATAATATAACTGTTAAAACTATCAACTTGAGTATAATTCAAATGGTTGAAACGTGTATCATGAATTTAGAGTTTAGAAGTTTGAATCATGAGATGTACTACGAGAGTAGTGTAAAATTTTTGAGAGCTCTAGCTAACTTAAACATTGTTGTTGGTATGTTTTGATTGTATTTTAGATGAACGGAGTTGATTAATATATTTTAATAAGTTAAATTGGAAAGTCGGAATTTCTAATAAAAAAAATGTAAAATATGTTTACGAAAATATTGTAACAGCTCGAGTTTCACAATTTTAAAACATGTCTCCAACCAAATGAGATCTCACAATCCACCCTTTGGGTGCCACCGTCCTAGCTGGCACACCACCCGATGTCTAGCTCTGAAACCATTTATAACAACCCAAGCCCCTTCGGCCCATTTCGTACTGCTATCAACATCACAATGTTAAAACACATTGACTAGTGAGAGGCTTCCACACTCTTATAATGAATGTTTCGTTTTTCTTTCCAACCAACGTGCGATCTCACAATAATCTTCCACATAATTTCTAAAAACTCAAATTTCAATATTACAACCCTAATCTTACACGTTTGAATATATAACAAAATGAGGCAAATCAGGGATCCGGGAGGTATCGAGGGCGAGGACAGAAAATGTAATCCCTGCCCTTGTTCCGGTTTACCTAATGGCTAAAATAACTCTTCTCACTCTTCCGACGAGGTAGGTCTCAATCTCATAAGATTAAAAGGACATCTTTAGAGTGAATACTTAATCGTCGAGATTATTTGGTCCTACCCTATCGGAATTATCCACCCCACTTGTTAGGTCATTATCATAATGTTTTTTTATTGAAAAAAAAGTCATAATTAATTAAATAAAAATATTATCATTTTCAAAACCATATTCTTGTCTCTTTGTGAATTTAAGATGACCATTTGACTTGTTAAGATCTTTGTACAAATCCTTAAAGATGATAAGGGCTAGATTTGGTATTTTCTAATTTTGTTTATGTTTTTTTTTTCTTATTATAAATTAGAAAATATTGCTTAAAAAAAAAAATATATATATATATATATATATATTTTTTTTAATTTTCAAATATATTTCTAAAAAGGCATGTTGGAAGGTTGTTCATTCATTTAAAATTATTATTTATAAATTAATGGCTTTGTAATAATGGAGGGTTTGAGTGATAAGTAAAAAAAAGATTCTTATTAAGGGAAAATAGTAATAATTTTTTATTTGGTAATTTAATAATTTAATAGCCTGGCAAGTGTCACGGTCGTACATTTTTCAATTGTGTAGTGTCGTGATATTGACATGCTCATGATAAGCTTTGAGGGAGACTAGAGCGCTTATGAATTTTTCACTTGTCTTTATGGTTTCGTCGAACCTTGGGCGAGGTTTGTCTTTGCAAGCCAAACACAACTTGTGGGGAATCCATGCTTGCCCGGCTACACACGTTGTCTACGTGTGTAGGTTCAATTTTTTGTGACCTAACCGAGTTGCTTTTACACTAGGCCAAGTCATTTGACTTAACCTTGCCTCTATTTGGGGTCAAGATTTTTTTATGGATCACGTCGCATCTCATCCTATCATTTTAGTTTCCAATTGACACGATTATCATGTCTTGATGTCATCTCAAGTTCTGGGATGTCATTGGTCAGCTTTAGCTTGCTTGGTCATACTCAACGAGAATGAGTCCATGTGTCGTTCATGATATTGGGACATCTCGAACATCCATCCATTGAGCAACCTCCAACCCATCGGCACACTCGTGTCTTCCAACACTATCCTTGAAAGACCCATTTTAAACATTTTAAAGGAAGTCGTCCAAGATACTCGTCTTGCAACGCTAACCCTCACTTAAGGGTCGTAGCTTTGCTTGTCCTTTATGTGAGGGTCACTCCGGGTGTTCAATAAATATTTGTGACTACCAAAAAAAGGGTCTTTTCTTAATTTATTGATTTTATTTAATGGTCCCCAAGACTTCATTATTTCAATTTTTGACCTTCCCTTCAAATTTGATTCTTTACTTTGGTAAGTGTTTGATTTTTTTCCTATATTTGTAATGTTATTTTTTAAAAAATTTTATAAACATTTTATGTTTTTTTCGTTTGGATGTTTGTGGTCTTAAAAGTTTCTGTTTTGGGTCCGTTTTTATTTGGTCCTTTAAAATTTTAAAATCTTCAATTTGGTCCCTCGTCGTTTAGTTTAATGAGTTTCAACCTTCCGCTCTAACATTCTCGAATCACTGTTAGACGCGTCGTATTATTATAGTTTAGAAATTTAAACCGTAAAATTTAAGAATAAAATCGAGATTTTAATTTTGATTAAAGTAAAGTAAAATAAAATAAAATAACTTTTTAAACTCTTCTAGGTACTTCCCATGCAAATTTATAACGAGGAATCAGATGGATAAGGGACAGCAGGACCCCAATAATTGGGGAGGCCCACAAACATAACTCCTTTATTTTTTCTATTTTTTCCATTTATTTTTTTAAATAAAACATTATTATTATTATTATTATTATTATGATTATTATGATTTATTATTTTTGCTACACTGGCCCACCAAATTAATTGGCGTATTGAGAAAGTGGGGGAAAGTTTTAATAAGTGGGGACCATCTTGGGTCAAAAATCTTAGTTCTTCATGGCTCTGAATCATCTTTAATGGGCCCATAGGCCCACTGTTAACAAAGTGGGCCCAAAATCATTCTCTGGAATCTCGTATCCCAAATTTGTGGATATGGGCCACTCTTTAATGGGCCCATGAAAGCAGGTAACCCTCACTTGATGGGCCCTTCTTAATGGGCCCATGTGTGAAAGTGGGCCAACCCTACACTGGGCTTTTGGTTCGTTGACTTGTATTTGTCAGCCATGGAAGTGGGTTCCAGACAATATTCGACTTAGTTAAAGAGTCATTCGCCCATTAAAATCAAAATTCAGTAAATTATATTTTTACACTTTAAAAATAAATCATTAATATGCTTATAATTTGATTAAAAGGTTAATTAGAGATGATAGTTGAACTATTATTTGAAGGTAATATTGACAAATATATTGTAATTATAATAAATAACAAATCTCTACGATGGATGTAATTTCCTCGTAACGGTAAAATTTAAAATCACTTCCAAATATGCGGTCGGGTAATATTTTAAAAGTACTTTTGAACAAATATTAAAACATGTTTTTTTTTTTATTATAAATCTTATTTTTTGAAAGGGTGACCCACCAAGAATTGAACTAAAATAATGTTAAAAGTAATGCAATGAATTGACTATGGATAAAATTCA